ACCAAGACAATAGTACCGGTAATATGATTGTTACACCATGCTGATGTAAGCATCATAGATGGTTCCCTTGCTAGACTCATGTAGGAAGAACATACAGTTAGCAACCATATTATTCAAACCCTAAACCAAGTGTGTAATTTTTTGAAGTATGTGAAACATTGATTTGTCCCAATTTATGATTCTTGAGTATGTGACATATTAAAACTTACATCAATAGTATTCAACAAAGGCCCTACTTTAATTCCACCTGTCATTCTTGAGTTTCGTAAAAACACACACAAATTCACAAGGAGTAGGAATAATCCAGTTGTAAACTGTATCTTCATATACTGGTATGTAGATCTACAGGCTTGCAAAGAGCTTGCCTTATTGTGTTCAGAAGCCATACAGGTGAGTGTCAGAATAAATGGCATGTGAACCTCTATTAGTATAAGACTACTGCATAATAGAGGACTAACATTATTCACCTTGGAAATGTGTTACCATTTAATAGACAGATGCTAAAAGCATCATCAATTATTACTTGAATATCTTTATCAACCATCATGAGATGAGCATTTACTTTCTCTTAAACGAAGCAGTGAATGCTTCACTACTTGTAGGACATGCAGGAATCATGGGAAATGAAACCCAGCAAGCAAAGAGCTCTGATCGATGCATGGAACTGCCTTTAATAGCAGAAAGACAGGGATGGTTTATCTATAGTGAATGAAAGGATTGCAGGGAATAAATCAGGATAAGACAGGATTAAGAGAGAAAAGAGAAGAATGAAAGAGAACAAAAGAATGGGAGCTTAAGATGGCGGGAAAGTTCTTTAGGTTAAGCAAGGAGATCGAGAGCTAGATGAAAACAGTCCTTTGTGATGAGGGAGAGCTTTCACCAAAAGGAGATATTATTTTTACATAAAAAGGACTTATAAAAGCAAGGCTGTTTCTACAACAACAAAAAGCCTGAGGGCCTTATACTGTATCATACAAATAACTCAATCATTGCCTAAAATGGAAAATGTTCATTACATAAACCAAACATCACTTTGCTAGTATCAAAAATACTCTTTGTTCACATATATTTGTTTGTGGTTTCACTCACCCTACAGCACAAAGTATGATCCACATTCTGAACACTGAGAAAAATAGGGAAATCAAGTTTACTCCCAAATATGTATGGAGTCTAAATAAGTTCCAGTATTTCAATTGCTAAACAAACCAATGACACCAACAACAGGGAATCATCAACCAAATTCAAAATATCAAGTGAAAATAATCTGCAAAAGAATTACCAGTAAGGATATTGATAAACATGTGATCACATCAATAATAATATACTCCAATCTGATCTCAAAGTTGGTGGATAGCACAGTGTAGAAAATTAATGCAAGTGAATACTTCCTCCAAATAAATCCAATATTTGTAGTAATAAACTAAGATTGATTGAGGGGGTAGCAGTAGTAAGAAACCAAATAAACACTAAACTAAAATATACAAACTCGCACATTACGCAGCTACTCAAAGAAAAATTCTACTGAAAACTAAACAATAAGACACTCAAGACATGTTGATTAAGAATCTACTCTACATGTATTTACAAGAAAAATAGGAAGATTAAAATACTATTTGCACTTTAATTGACATAGATTTTTCATGTTTATGTTTCCTAAGAAACAATTATTAGTATGTATACATGTATGCAAAAGATAAATGAAGATATAAGAAGCAGAGGTTGATGCATATACATAGATACAGTGCATCAACCAGGCTGAAGAGAGAAAGAGAGAGAGAGAAAGAGAGAGAGAGAGAGAGAGAGAGAGAGAGAGAGAGTAGCTTATGGAAAGTGAATTTGAATTTGAATTTGAAAGTGATAAAGGAATTGAAAACAAAAACAAAGAAAACAAACATGGTATTCGAGGTAATGCGCAGAATTGGTGAAACAATTGGCCAAAGACAACAATTTCAGAATATGGCGGTAAAATACAAGTCCCAAAAGATTTGCTTACAGTAGAATAGGGTGCTCACAGAACCATAGTCCAATAGGTTCTACATGTTAGGTTTGATTCAAATATATTTTATTTTCTACGATAACCTGTAGAATACCAGTATAAGATTTGTTAAGGAATATTTTATACATTCTGCATGGTTGTACACAAATCCTGTTCTTACGAGATAAGGTACACTTTAACCAGATCCATGACCTGAAGCAATATTTGTGTCATTTTGAAATAAAAAACAAGAATGCAATTGTATAATCATATGTGAAAATATTCTCACAAAAAGCTTTAAAATCTGGAGGAAGAACATGGCTATAAAGTCAATGGTTTTTAGGTTGGTGGTAATTACTCATGACAAAACCATTGGACTTGCATAATCACTAATAATGCTACATGTAAAGACTATAATCATTTCTTTCTCTCTAAAATATTTACAGTTTGTCTGTACATTAAATACATCTGGAACAAAGAAAACATTTCCACAAACTTCCTCCCAACATTTGACATGGATTGAGTAGGATACAGACCAATCGATATCACCACTGTAATTAAAAAGATGATGCTCATGAAAGCTAATTTCTTTCAAACATTTGTGACTTTTGTGGCATCATAAGAAGGGATGCAACTATTTCTTCACAAAAACACAATGATAGTATTATTACTACCTATTCCCTTTTGTAACAAAGCAAGATATAAAAGCAATTGTATTGTATACAACATACCGGTAGATCATTGTTTCTCCATCATAATACACACTTGTATGAAAAAGTATCATATATAAAATGCTAAAACCATAGGAATAAAAACAAATTGTTTGGAGATATCATAGGTGTGATATTTTGCATGTTATAATAATAGCATTCATTCAATAATCATCAGTGTAGCTCGAGAGCTGAATTACTAATGGTTTTACAATAAAAAGTGCATGAACTTGCTGTTAATTAATTACAAACGGCATAAAACCAACAAAATATTTCCTCATAATAAAATGGTAGGATTATTACGTTAGAAAAGAAAAAATGTATGTACCCAAATTAGGCTTGAAAGGGAAATAGAAAAGGAGAAGCTGAGTTCTTAAATAATAATTAAGTATATATACCGGTAATCAAAGTAGGTGTTGTAGATTACAAAAATGTTGAAGTGTTTTGACTGTTGAGAGGTACTTTGAGATCTCTGAATAAAACAACAAAGATTAATTACTTTAATTACTTTCAGATCATCTTTAATAAAGGTGATAGCTTACATTGATTGGGTCATTCTATCAAAGGATACTATCCAAACATTCCAACCTCAGCTTAACCACATGATTGTACTTCCTGCTTTATATCATCTATCAAGGTACAATGTTGATCAAACCATTCACTCAAGAACCTAAACAATCACTCCTTCAAAAACACTCTTTGATAGCAAATCTGGCCTGATTTCAAACAGGAAAACGGGGAAATGGATCGGGAAGAGTTTGTAAAAAATGATGGCAATAAGAAGAGTGACAAGTATGTAAAGGTTTATAATCCATAATGGAATCCCAAAGACTAACACCAATTATTGAAGACTTGTTTTGAAACATGTAACTATTTAAAATTGTCCCAACCAATTCAAATCATCCTAATGCTTATAAAGAACAAAACAAGTTTGAGAAATGATCTTATTGGGTGCTAGTTAACATAGCACCTGTATGGATTATCTTCAATGACTACATTACATTAAATATTCATTACAGTTCTTCTCATCTTATCTGTCTTATCTTTCTATTGATGTCCACAATCAAATAAGTTGATTATTATGGTATTAAGTTATGCCAGTCATTGTCAACTAAAAAAAACAGATCCAAGGAAGGATTTGAGTACCTGTGATTTGAATATATGATAAAACCTCATAATGCATGTATTATTAGGTATGAATGGCAACCAAGCAGAAAAATTGCCCAATAAGGTCATAAGTGTTTCTCGGTCCCCAGACGTAAATAATCATATCTGATTGACACACGTCTGTAAAAACACAATACACACACACACTTGGCTGGAGCAAATAAAAAGTCACATATTACTGAAATCATCCCCTTAAGCCTCGCTCAGACACAAAGCAGTAAATGTACATATGACCTTTCATTTCTTTTTCATAATTTCATTTTTTTTCTTCATAATTTGCTGAGCAGTTGCCATTCATTCACACATAAACAAAATAAAGGATTACTGACAGCATACTAAAGAGAGGTATATAATACCTATTATTACCCATATCAGACATCTGAGCTGGTCATTTACAAAACCGTATTGCCCTAGTTTTCACTAGCAGTGGGAACGGATGGGTATATTCTTTGTATTTTCCTTGGTCTCCCTGCCCGTATAGACTTTGCGTGTAGAGACGAGTGAAAATATACCTTTGTATTTTCCACGGTCTCGCATCCGGGCATCTTGTATTGACCGCGCTGTATTTTGTCATTTTCATTGTGCATCTATTATGCGTACGAGAACCTGCGCATTTTGCGAGTACTCTATTGTGACGTAATAATCACACCAAATGCACACTGTTTGCAGTGTATCGAAAATTTCGTCAAGCACTGGATGCACAGTGCTGGTTTGACAAAGTTTGTTCAGTTTTTTGAGATTGTCATGGTGGATTTCTGAATTTGCTTTAGATGTCTGATTTGGATAACAATAAAAATATCAACTGGCTTTACTTTCGAGGGATATCAGAAATATTGACTGCGCTAAGACCATATTGCCCTCGTCTTTCGACTCGGGGCAATATGATCTGAGCTTGGTCAATATTTCTGATATACCCCTCAAGGCCAGTCAATATTATATAAATCAATCTTACTGCCGAGACAGAAGATGATTACTGAGTATGAAGAGATTTACGGTAAATCTGATGACACTGGCTGGTACGTCCTTCACAATACTGGTAAACCACAACAACATTCACTCTTTAAGTGGGTAATCTGCTCACTTTTTTTATGACCTCCCTTTTTATCATCCTATCTATTCAGTGCAAATGACTTTTCTCTTTTATAACATTTCGGTCTGCAAAAGTTAGGTTTAATTCTGATAGAATACCCTGATTGCCCATACTCACTATAGTAGGTATGCAATAGTATTAGATCATGTCCTTCACAATACGGCTAGACGAAGATGAAGTCATCCATGATAACTCTTAGAAAATATCCCAAGAGTTTTCATGGATGACTCCATTGTGTACTGGTATTGGGAAGGACATGATCTAATACTATCGAATAACTACTATAGTAAGTGGTTTTTGTTTAACGTAGCTTATTATTCAATATCTAAGCCGATTTCTGAATGCTTAAAAGCTTTTCATGTATCTTCTGGCTAGCCTGGTTCTTTACATTGAACTGCCTGGTTTAACATTAGTCTGCATTCAAGACTATCAGTTTTGTTTGTTATGTCTATTGAATCATCAATTTAAATTCAATATGATTTGCCAGCTTAGAACATTTTTTATCAAAGAGCAAAAATGTAATTGATTTAATTACATACCCTTTGAAGTTTGAACTCTGTTGCTTGTTAACTAGCAGTCGGGACTCCATCTATTTATACATCATTGATTGTAAAATAAAAAGGAAACAAACAAATATGACACAGAATTTGAGATGAATAAGACTGATCATTAAAAGTGTTGTGTTCTCTTCCTTTTGACTTCCATAGCTTCAATGATTGGTCTTCTCTTCTCTTGATATCGTTTCCTCAGCTCCTCTATCTCTGCTTCCATCTGGGGGTCAAGGGAAGTTAATCTCTCACGAAGTTCATCTATTGACAGTTGCTTCAACTAAAACAAAGTGGAAAAACAAAGATTAGCACAGGAATATAAAAAATACCCTATTAATTAGATAACATATATTGAAGTAGATACCATTCATGTATTAGACCTATATTAAAGTCATTCCTGCATGTTCTGGACTATAATATCTTCATTATAATATCAGATATCATGTGAAATGACCTCTGTATACTTTGACATATGAACTAATGACCCTAACATATATGTTGAGGTCAACTCCCAATGCTGATGCCCCATGACCTGCTTGCTGTCACAGCACATCCTATCACAGTTCAGCTTGGAAGAGAGATCCGTCTCATCAAAGTCAAGGTCAAGATGCACGCTGGTAGCAATCTTGAAGTTTATACCTGAATGTTTAAGCTAGGTCGAACAGAAAGAACTTTAGTAGCTGAGGCATAAGAACTACAGTAATTACAACAATAATAATGATTGGATTTATATAGTGCCTTGTGCTGTTCCTCAGTTTATTAACAAATAAAGGACATTTGTAGAGGTATGTTTTCAGATGATTTTGAAGAAGTCAAGTACACCATGTTAAAAAGGTACTGTATGTAGTCATGTATCTTAAAGCTCCTCTAAAGTATTGGGAGCCCCAAACATTTGATGGCAAATTTTTACTTCAATTGTGTCATAATGGGAAAGAGGATGTCACTTAAGACACACTGCTGCAACGATTTCCCCCAAAAATGTGTTTGAAGGCAAATATTGAAAACAGAATACATAATTTGTCTTAAAATACATTTTTTTTTTTGGGGGGGGGGGGAAATCTTTGCAGTAGTGTCAGTGTGTCTTTAATGACATCCTCTTTCACATTGTAATACAATTTAAGCAAATTTTTGGCATCAAATGTTGGGCTCCCAACACTTAAAGGTACTATGTCCCATTTGCAGGCCAAAAAAATGAAAAGGTTAATTTCCAACGGCATTTGAAAGATAATACTAATTTAGAACTCCCCTTAAAAAATGGGGGCTTGAAAATGTCTTTAAGTTGGAAAATAACGACTATTAGTTGTCAAATCGACTTAGGAGCTATAGAGCCAATAAGTAATAGTCTTGATTTCCAGACCATTGTACTGCATGGTTGTACGTTTTATGCGGCGCAAAGATTTGATCAGTTTAATTTTGGCCACTACAATAAGTGGGTTATTGATGTAGACAAATGCTCATGTACCCTTTACAGCTCATTTTATGTGTGTTATTACCAAAGAAGGAAAAAGGCCAGTGTCTGACAGTGAAGTCTAGCAAGTAAATGGGTTTCCTTGCATAATTTGGATATTCGGAGCAGGGCTCAAATTAATTTTTTGTCCACGGGGGCTCTTCCCCCGAAAAAAGAGCCCCCGTGAGCCTTCTCACGGGGGTTCTTTTATTACTGACGGGGGCTCTTTTTTATACAAATATCCATTTAATTGGCTATGATACTCCTCAATTATTTGCTATTTCATCATTATCATTTCAATCGGCATTTTCCATCTTACAAATTTACAAGCTACATAGCTGTTAGTGGCCTGTGTATATAATATATACGCATACAACACTGATCTTTATGTCTTTAACGTGACATATCTTCTTCTCCCCTTGCAAACGAAAAAGAAAACATGGTCATTAAAAGGGATTAAGCGACAAATAATGATTGTGATTCAAATTGATGCGAATATTTGTTTGAATAAGCACTGCTATTCACCCGAATCTTCTTTGTAAAAACAACTTTTACAAATCTCAGCCATGCTTACTGAGTTGAGACGTTCCATTCAATCTAAAATACCCATTACATAATACACTTCTCCTAATCTCAAAGTGATCTTACAGCACAGTGGCAGAAATGCATGGCTGAGATTTGTAAAAGTCGTTTTTACAAAGAAGATTCTGGTGAAAAGCATTGCTTATTCAAAAAAATCCTTGCATCAATTTGAATCACAATGATTATTTGTCGCATGGTCCTTTTATTAAATAACCTTGTTTTCTGTTTTGTTTGCAGAGGGAGAAGAAGCTATGTCACGTTAAGAAATCATAAAGATCAGTTGTATTATGCGTATATGATACCAGAACAAAATGATTATCAGAATGTCATTTTGGAATACCTCTATACAAATACCACATTGTCTTTAGTCCGTATCAGTATTAGTATGATCCAATATAAAGCTATTATTCTTTATTTAATTCAGTATAATGCTTTTCCTCAAAAATAGTTTTGCTATTTTTTTAGGGTCGAGACGCTAAGAAATGGTTTCAAATGTACATTACACGAACCCTGAACCATTGCAAAATGATGGTGGTTCTCTCTCTCTCTCTCTCTCTTTATTTTAATTATGCATTATCAACTACATATAAAGCAGCAACCAAAAACTTAGGGTTATCTGAGATAGGTGAAAGTAAGAGTTAAAAAGAAAGTCATGCTAAAACGGCGCTTCACTTCCCACCGCCCCCTGAAAAAAATAAAATAGATTAGTAGTCCTCCTCTTCAGAATCCACCTCCCCCCCCCCCCCCCCCCCGCTTTAATATCACATTTTCACTTGGCAGCCCAAGGGGGCCGGGGGTGGGAGGAGGGGGTTAAACCCCCTACCCACCCCCCCCCCCCCTGCCGCAGATCTGCCCATGTTACCATATCATTCCACGACATTTTGGTCTTCCTCTTCTCCTCAAAAGGGACTTTTAGATATGCGTGGACGTGGACGTGTTACGTCCTTTTAAAGCACTGGCAATCACATGTGACGTCCTTTTAAGCACTGGCAGTGCCTTAGAAGGAGGTCACACGTTGCAGTCCACGTTCTCATCGTGCAAATCTAAAAGTCCCTAATATTGATTTACTGGTCGAGGTTCATTATTTGCTGACAACGAAAAACTTCTCCAGGCCATGACCATATGTTTCTGCCCTTGCCCGATCGCCTCCAGCTCCAGCAGACATGGCGCGGCAGCGTGCGCACGCACCGCTACTAACTAACGGCGCAGTAGGCCTATAACCACTGCTGACGGCGGCACTGCACTGCGAGCTGAATCGCTAATAATAGGCCTACTCATAAAACGAGAAATCTTGCACGCTAATCTTAGTTCCATTTCATTGGTTTAAGGTTTGAAAATTGAAACTCAATATTGTGTTAAAGTTATAACAGAAAAGATTATCTTTATTTTATAATTCCACCGGGGCGATTTTTAATTTTGATAGAGAAACTGATTACATCATTGGAGAGTATGGTTCAAACCATGGTTCAAACCATGGTTCAAACCATGGTTCAAACCAGTCTAAGGGTACGTGGGTGTGAACATGGACCTATTACGAATGGACATTCATCGTTTTCTTAACGAATTCATTGTGATTGCTCCATCAGTGTCGTCTCAATACCATTCAGTACATGTTTCTTCACTTTGATCTAATGAGGGTCACCGCCCATAAGCCAGGACAGAATCAAGATAGTGATTTTAAACATGTTAATCTACATGCGCAGAAGATAATAAATCGCTGAAATCATGGGAAATCGATGTGCACTTCTGGTTAATAATTGGAAATTGTTGTTCCGTGTACTGTTTTCTATTTTTGAAAAACATGTTGATATTACCAGATAGGTTTTATTTGGATTGTTTGTGATTTAAAATCCTGTTTTCCCCAGTTTCCTCATAATATTCCAGAATTACAACGCACAGGGCTATAAAGATCATGGCCTTCTAATTGTTTTATAAGGTCATTGGTGTGTGCAAAAGTGTGCGAATCAGTAATAATAAATTTCATATCACCAAAATCGTCTGCTTTTCAACTTTGCTGCTCCCCATTGGGGATGTTTTTATTTAAGACACACTCTTACAGAGCACACCATCCAAGTAAAACCCAAGAGAGGGAAACTGCTCTTTTGTCAGTGCCCGAAAATGCTTACGCAGTCGTTATTGGTAAAACAGCTGAATGTTCTCATTAATATGCACATAATCAGAAGGTGGTGACTATCATTGGATCAAAGAAAGAATCACAGTTGAATGTTCAGCAGTAATATGTCCATGGTGTCAACTACCTTGATTATGTAATCTCCACATTCCAAGGCCTATTCAGCTTGTGAGAATCATTGTTAGTATAATCCATGCAAACAAATAAGAATGAATGTAATCCATGCATGGATAGCTGACATGTTAATAAAGAGTGCTAGCATCAAAGACGTAATGATCTCTCTCAGATTGTGATAAACAAATATTTTACAAAAGAAATTCTCAGAAAGTTTTCAAATGATTAATTTTGTTTGGGTAACATAAACTCAATAGGACTTCAAGCTTTTCACTGTTGTCTAAAGAAAGTTTTTTTTCATGGTGTTTTTCTTCCATGGGAGACAAAAGGGCAATCCAACCTTTGTAATAATTTCATTTGTATGAAAGCAGAAAATAAGAGAGCCACAAGGTGAAAGTTTGAAATAAACGTGACTAATAATAAGAATTTTATAAGTACTTGAAATATGATATCACTAAAACTATGCAAATGTCAGATTGGCAATATGGGTACTGGATTGTGACATTGTTGTGGTATTGTTGTACAAAATTGTTATAAATTTTTGTTTTTCTCCCAAGTGCCTTCACCCTTTAATAGGGCACTACTCAAAATATATTGTGGATCACATATTTTTAAAAGAAATTCTGAAAGGAAAGACAGTCATAGATTTTTGAAAAATTGAAATTTTAGTCATTTTTGGGACCAAATGTGAAATTTGTCTGCCAGTACATCACAGAGATATTACAGATTTCAGTCAATTTGAAGTGCCCATATGTTTAGTGATTACAGCTTTCAAATTTTGTGTCTGATTTCGTTCAAACTGTCACCAGTCTGCTTCTCTGATTTTTCTAGTTTCTTTTAGAGTAGTTTGCTATTAGGGTTGGATTTCCCTTTCAATATAGAGTATACTGCCCTCTCTGCTACGATTATACTGCCCTCTCTGTTATGATTCAGACAGTGAGGAGTGAATGAAAAGGTACAATTAATTTGCTGCACTGACAGAAAGCTAAAATAGCCCTGCTATACTTCTACAGTTTGAAAGGTTAGTTCTGACATCATACTTACCTACATCAATACACTGTTAGATCAGACAAACTCACTAACTGATAATGATCGATGGCTGTTTTTAAGACACAAATTTCAAATACAGTCAAACCTGTCTATAGCAACCACCCAAGGGAAACACAAAAAGTAGTCTTTGTAGACAGGTTCCTTTAGTACATGTTTCAATGAGAAACCATTTTCAAGGGAAACAACAAACGTGGTCTTTGTGAACAGGTGGTCACTAAAGCAGGTTTGACTGTACTTCAAGATGTGATTTAATCTACATTTCTTAGCATGAAGCTTCCTTATCTTTTATATCTTTCCCACTCCCAAGATTTGTCAAGTTTCATACAGTACGTAAAAGTTTCTGGTTCAACAGCAGAAGTTTTATTTCATAACTCAAACTCAAAGACATCAAAGTTTCACATTATCTCACTCAATAATGATAAGCTCTTGATACCCACAACCCTCCATTTGTAATTCATTTCTACCCTTAGATTTATCCATCATTCCAGCTTTCAGTCACAAAATCAAATTATTCACCCCTTCATGCAATCAGTCATTATTGTATTATTCATTCAATTCATTTGTATATTCATTAAATATTCTCTTTCTCAATTGTATTTTATTCTGTTCATTCATCCAGCCATTCTGCAATGTTAATAACCTATTATAACATTTGGGTGACTATTAGATCGGTGCATGATTTATGAACAAACAATTAGGAAATCATAGAAAAATGTTAATTTTGTGTGATGTGAGTAAATGCAATTTGTTTTAAAATATATTAACAACTTTGAAACTAACATTTGATATGTCCTATTCTTTTGAAACATTACTACCATAATGGTTTAAATAATCAACTCCTTCACTGTTAGTTTATAATGAGATGTGGAATGAAATCATAATAGAGAAAATAAAATCAACAAAATAAAAATGCGATGAATGCAAAGAACTAAAACTCACAAAATCAAAGTCCATCTCGCTGAATGGCCGATGGAGGAATAGCGGTGGTTTTGGGGGCGGGGCTTCTTGATTAGCAGGGGGAGGAGCACTCACCCGATGGTTGCCAGGGGCAATGTGCATAGGGGCATTAGAGGGTACCGTGGGTGCGTTTGATGGATTGATAGGAGGTGTAACAGGAGATGATATCTTGGCTTGTTTAGCTTCTTCTTGTCTCTCATAATGTTCAAGGTATTGAGGTTTGTATGCATCTGCTTTGGCTGTATCTGTCCCTACAAACAAAACATAACAAAACAAATATATCACGGTTTACACAGAATTAACCTAATCAATCAAATCACATGTTAGATAAATCCATTGTGCATAGAGTTAGCAACCTTCTGGGTCTGGCTCTAAGAAGATGGTATTATGAAAAGGGCAATTGTTGTAATAACCTTTAAATATTTGAAATTTTCAGTGGGCGATAAATGAAAGGAATTTAAATTACGAAAGAGATTTAAAGAGAAGGTCGTAACTGGAGAGAGGTGAAAATTCTCGGAAAAGAACATACCCGGTAATACCATTATATCAAATTGGAAATTCTTATCATCTCATCAAATTACTTTCATTAAAAAAAAAAACATGTGCTTATGAACACTGTATCATTTATGCTCATAAAAATGATTGTGATGATCTTTGAATGCATTAATAAAATATTCTTTATTGTGAAACAATTATCCTGAATATTAATCACAAAATGGTGGTTGTTTTGTTACTGATTACTTACTCTTCATTGTTCCATCATTGCCTGAATCATCATCATCATTAATAACCATGGTACCCATGTTGGATTCTAGATCATTCAAGCTACCATGATTAATCATTGTCCCACTATCATGATCCACCATCGTCCCACTATCATGATCGATCATTGTTCCACTGTGGTGGTCGACCATCGTCCCACTATCGTGATCGATCATCGTACCGCTATCGTGATCAACCATCGTGCCGCTATCGTGATCGATCATTGTCCCATGTTCTATCATGGTCCCTAAACAAAGAAACAACATACATGTTCATCAAGCTTTATGAAATAGAACAATCTAATCATGATATGTGAGATTAAAAGAAACAATTTTGCAAGACTCACTATATGTTGAGAGGTAACCCAATGATACTGATAATATTCCATACTCCATTTATATAAGCTTATATTCTTTTACTTTTCGTCATACACACTCAGTTTTTGTTTTAACTTTCATGAAAATTCAAGGAGGACATTGCATCTGGACATGAATGTATTTTCAATGTGTTTTCATCTGTAACCAACAAGTTAATACCTGAAAACAGTTTTACAAAATACATTCAACAATCTAAATTAGTTTTATTTAAACAGGTAAAACTGCATACCCTCCAAAAAATCCTATACCACATCGAGGATCAATTTTATCAATCTTTTCCTTCATTTCTCTACCATGTGAATACTACCGACAACCTTAAACCTTGCTAGAAGTTTGTTTGACACAGCTATACAAAAACTCATCAATGGTACATACAAGGGTACTTTGGGGGTAAAGGCTTTCAAATATTTGAATAAAGTAGAGTGTGTTTTTTTTTAATGAAGGAAATCTGAAAGTAGATTCCACAGTCTGGGAGTACCTCTGGTAGGAGCTGTCCTGTAAAAAGTGGTTGCCCCTCTGAAGGAAGCAAGGAGAAGAGAGCACGGCTCAAAATACACGAGGGCGATGGGCGATTGCAAAATTAAAAATCGCCCCGTGGAATTATAAAATAACTAGATGGAATTCGACTGCGCGCAGTCGAAAATGATGCCTCCGTCATAGAGCAATTTTACAAACCGAAACGGAAGAAATTTTTCAAATTCAAGTTCAATTGTAATCCATTAACATGTTCTCAGAATATCGTGATTACAAGCAATTTCTCATAAACATATATGACCCTTTGATCTTTGACCTCATGACCCTAAAATCTACTCAGTTCATTGGCTCTGCAAGATTTCCTGAGTTAAATAGTAATCCATCTGTCAGTTCTAATGAGAATGCGTCCACAAGCTATTTTTGCATACATAATGAGCCCATGACCTTTGATCTTATGAACCATTCATTGGCTCTGCAAGATACATAAATGATCTAAGTTTGGCAGGAATCCATCAATCTGTTCTAATGATAATACGATCACAAGCTATTTTTGCATACATAATGAGCCGCATGACCTTGACCTTTACCTCATGACCCCAAAATCTAATCAGTTCATCAGCTCTGCAAGTAACATACATGACCAAAGGTTGGCAGGAATCCATCAATCGGTTGTTCAGATAACGCGATCACGAGCTGTTTTTGCATACATAATGTGCGCTGTGACCTTTGACCTCGTGACCCCAAAATCTAATCAGTTCATTGGCTTTGCAAGATACATACATGACCAAAGTTTGGCAGGAATCCATCAATCGGTTCTTCAGATAACGCGATCACAAGCTGTTTTTGCATACATAATGAGCCCTGTGACCTTTGACCTTTGACCTCGTGACCCCAAAATCTAATCAGTTCATCAGCTCTGCAAGATACATACATGACCAAAGTTTGGCAGGAATCCATCAATCGGTTGTTCAGATAACGCGATCACAAGCTGTTTTTGCATACATAATGAGCCCTGTGACCTTTGACCTTTGACCTACGTGCTCCAAAATGTAATCAGATTGTTTTCTTATAGTGATACACACTATCACTAAGTTTGAAGTTTAAATCTCCAGTGGTTCTTGAGATATCATGATAACAATCTCAATGTATGGAATTTCATAAGTTGACCTCTGTGACCCTTGACCTTTGACATACGTGCTCCAAAATCTAATCAGATCGTCTTCCTATGGTGATACATACTATCCTTAAGTTTTAAGTTTAAGTCTCAAATGGTTCTTGAGATATCGCGCTAACAAACTCAATACAAGGAATTTCATAAGTTGACCTCTGTGACCTGTGACCTTTGACCTACGTACTCCAAAATCTAATCAGATCGTCTTCCTATGGTGATAAATACTATTCCCGAGTCTTAAGTTTAAATCTTAAATGGTTCTTGAGATATTGTGATAACGGTCAAACGGGACGGACGGACGGACGTACGGACGGACGTACGGACGTACGGACGGACGTACGGACGTACGGACGGACGTACGGACGGACAACCCGAAAACATGATGCCTCCGGCACCACCTTCGGTGGCGGAGGCATAAAAATTATCTTTTCTGTTATAAATTTAGCACAATATTGAGTTTCTGGAGGAAGCAAGGAGAAGAGAGCCTGCACTCACCGCTATCATGATCAATCATAGTACCGTGTTCTATCATAGTCCCACTGTCTATGTCTGTGACATCATCATGTTCAATGAATGTATTAGCTGTATTACCAGCTGAGCCACTGATGATAATAGTACCGCTATCATCTTCATTCATCACAGGAGGTCTCCCTCTGACCATCGTTCCACTGTCAACATCATCTTCATCCTGTAACCAGACAGATCAAATAGCAGATGCACAGATATTAATATACTTGTTACAATACTATTCTATTCTATGCAATGAAACAAAAGGTTTTGATAAATTTTGATTATTTAATCTATATCAAACATTGCTTCAATATGACAGTTTCTTAAGTTGTTGTGGTGATTCTGTTGAAATGAGAATCAGATTGAAATAAGCCCATTATTCAATATATGTCATGTGTCTCCAAAACTAATGTATAGTGCATACAAAACATTTGTTTATCATATTATTTTCATTTTGTATGTCGTTGTTGAGGATACCCTACATTAAAATATGTAACGTAACTCGCTGGGCTGGTAAGAAGGCATCATAGAAAGGACAGGGCCGGCGTGAGTTGGAAGTGTGTGCGGATCGTGGTTTAATTTGAAATAATTTTTTGTTTTTTGTTTTTGTAGACTATGACTAATATTATATTAAAATGAGATTGGAAAAAGAAAGAAAAAATAATAATTTTATCAAGACATTATAAGAAAGAGATGCGATGAAATTGGCAACAATAGTCACATTTGACTAATAGCCATTATAATACCAAACGAACAACAACAATATACTAAATAAAGGGCTTGTTTCTATATGATTTCTATTTTATCAAGACTGTTACATTGTTACACATCAGGGCTAGCTGAAGTGATGGTCCATAAGCTTGCTTTCACATATTCTAATAATTAAAAAAATAATAATGATAAAAGTATGGTAACTCGATATAAAACTGCAAAATGTATCAAACTGACAGATTCAAGTATTTAAAAGAACACATAATACTGTCTCTTTGATTTTCCACTAATGATATTATATGCAATACCGGTATACAAGTAGAATGGACAATTAAAGGCCAAAAACAGAGTTCAAATCTGATGGGGATGCACTTGCAATACTTTTTCCTTGAACAATTGTGATTACTCACATCATTTGAGGGATGAATTTGCAGTTTGCTTTACATTACATTTTGGCTACACATATTAAATAGTAGAGCCACAATATGAGCTTTACCTCTGGAGCATTGTACAATGAAAACACACTCTAATCATTTTTATTAGGGCCCACTCAGACCCATGATGGTAAATCACTTATAAAAATATGAAACATAGATTAGGGTGGGTGGGTGGGTACAATGTGTTTCACACATTGGCATATTATAATACATGAACAGGCAGTACGCTTAATGTCCTTTGTTGCTCACGGCTACATGTAAGTTTTGGTTTTTAACCGGCATATTATTGCCCATTGCCATTCACATACATTTCTTTTACACTCTTTTTAAATGCTCTTTTCCATGTGACGTCTGGATGAGGCTTTATAGAGCAATGAAAGCAAATTAAATCAAACAAAGCCTTGCCTTCCTAGCCCCAGTTCATTTCTGGATGATTCTATGCCATGTGTCCCGAACAACATATATGTCTCTTTTTTTTTGTACACCTATTTCACCCCAAAGTGAACAAAATAATCTTGACATGAGCTTTTAACAATGTTTGGGATACCTGAAAGAATCCTTAGTCTGTGGTCACATCAAGATATTTTCATTTATTTGATGAAATCAATGGATAAATGTCATGTTCCACAGGACACATTGCAAGGAATCTCCCTTTTGCTTGCAATACGGTATTATGATTAAATTTTGCAAATGTACTTGCTGAAAGAGAGAGATAAAGAAAGGAAAATAATGAAGTCTACATATGTAAATAAAAAAAATCTTAATAATAAGAAAATACATACATTTTACAATTAAATAAGAGATGGTATAAAATAAAGACACAATGAAATAAATTACTTTTGGATCAGAGAAATCAAATGCACTTCCCAGTCAATATGAACATTTCTATTTCTCATTCATGATCACATGATTTAGCATTGTGATCTTAACCAATATGATAGTGCTCAGACCTTATTCTGAAGATTGCACCCAAAAGCATAGGTTCTTAAAACAATCTAAACTTTTTTGATCCTAAATTCTTTATTGCAGAAATGGAAAGGCAGAGCAAGATTTATAATAAAATTGCAATTCATACAACAGAGCCTAAACAGGCTACTTAAGAATGAACTGGAAAAAAAATGCATCCACAGTTAGACATTTCAACATGATTATCACTAGTTCACATACACATTTAGAAAGAAATAAAAATGCTAGAACGTGAAAGAATATGCATTCCATGACAATGAAACTTCAGTCAACCAAATTAAAATATGATTGTCAAAATACTGTACAGTTAAAAAAATAATGGTATGAAGTTTGCTTTTAAAAAATGAGGACAGATGCACAATTGGGTCAGTTTACATTATATTCAAAAGGTGGTTTTTGAGTCAAATGCATACAAACTACAAAAACATGCAAACTAAAAATCTACTGATCAGTTCTGTAGAATAAAATACACACATGTCTGTATGGAGTCAAATGAAATTTAGAAACATGCAATGCTGAAAACAAACTTTCTGATTGATATGAAGCATTCCCTGGGCTGATTCATTTGCATATTAGATTCTGATTGGCTTACCAGTCTACCCTCTGTATCTTCCTCCTCCTCCTGGTTAGTAGTCATGGCAACCAAGTAGAAAGAATGTAACATTATCAATCGCCATCTTTAAACTTTTTTTTAATACTTTATAGAATAACCTATTGTTTGACAACCCTAAATAAATCTATCATTTTTTTTCTAAAAAAAAATGTCATAAACAAACTTTCAAGAGTATACATGTACATGTAACTGATATTCTAAATGCTTTGTTCATAAAAGTTGGCATGAAATACCTTCCATGGGAAATTTTGTTCTCTCTAAAGGTGGCGGATTCTATAATAAAGCCTTTCTAGGTCCTAACACATAGTTTAACATGTAATTCCTGCGCGACATTTACCGGCAATAACACAGAAAGGATTGAGATGTTTTCTAATCATATATTTTGCAATTCTGAAATATAGCTTCAAGATGTTTATTTATCCAGATTATCTACTTGTGACAAGACACGTATATACATGTCCATGCAAGTGCACCAATAAATACACAAACTTCTGGCATGTCCTCTAGAGAGCAAAGCATCACTCATGAATATCAAACTAACTAAAGTGTGTCAAGGAATATCGAGATATGTGATGTGGAGTTGCTCTATCTCAGGTTCTGTAAGACTTGGTCCGGGTAATATGATACACTGAATATCTCTAGGTGGCAGATTCTAAATGGACTGTTCTATTTATAATCAAAATTTCCACACAACTGCGCCAGGAGTGTCATTTTTGACAGACATGGTGCACTATAAATGTTCACTACTATTATTATTATTATTAATTCACAAATGTTGAATAAATCCCCTATCCAATCATTTTAAAGAGTATGTATTGTCTAGCATGTTACAGTGATTGATGAAGGGGAAACCACATGTCCTTTACAACAAACTATCAAATTTCATCCTAAATAAGATTCTTTTATTCAAAAAGTTATACATCATGCTCAAGATGCATTACGTGCAAGGAGAATTCAAAGTTGAGTTTCTCAACAATGTTCTACTCTCAAGATTGGGATATAGTGCACACCTACAAGTTGTCATTATAGATACCTATACCTTTTAACCACATTGAAAATAATTGTAATAATCCCCTTAGCCCCTGTGTTGAAGAATGATTTTCTCCTCCCCCTTCCCCATTCTCTTTCTCTCTCTATCTTTCTTATTAGATCCTTTCTAATTTTCTCACTTTCTTCAATACAATCAGCTAGAATGCTTAACATACAGATAGATATACAGTATGAGTAAATGTAAATGCACTTATCTTTTAGAAGTCATATTCTTAAATATCTTACTTTCAGCATACCACATCTATGAAAGCATGCCCTAGGTCTTTGAATAGAACCAAAATATATTTGGTTGCTCCTTTTTCTTTTAGATATCATTAAACACATAACAATCTTTGGTAAAACTTACAAATGCAGACTCATATAGTACCCTATTTTCACATAAGGACCCTATGCACATTCTATAATGTTGTCATTACATGTATATGTATATGTATATACATGAATATATATATAGGCGTGAAGAAAACAGTCTAGGAACGTGAGATGTATATATATATTTATATACAAATGTTGGGTTTTTTTAAAACAGAAACATTTAAAGGTTTGATTGTGGCATATCATAATTAGGTAACAGGTAATCCTTCCTGAAAGTATGATATTAATGTTAAATTAAGCTATGTGGCCATCGTGATGCATGGACTTAATTGCACAATAAGAATATTCCTATTTGTGTATCTTTGTATGCTTTATACTTTCTTTCTCTTATCTTAAATGTGTCACTAGACAGTAATACCAATCTGATATAATGGATAGGGGACCTCTATTGTGTATTATGCTGAAAGATTCCAAGATTCTTGCATTCTATGCATGCACAGCCTTACCACAATGGTGTACATATCATCTTCAAAATCCTGAGAAAACCAATATGTTAGGAAGAAATACATATTGCATGTTATTACATACAGAATTATCATTGAGTTCTATGTATTAAACTGAAGATGATGACATTTCACAGCACACATCGTTTAGTAGAATGAATCTTGAGTTCTGGTTTTGACATGTTATACATTTTCACAAAATCTAAAAAAATATTCAACAATGAAAATTAACTAATTGGTCAAAAATATCTAGTACAAATAATAAATTTGAGCAAGAAGCACAAGAAAAGAAGGACAGGAAGATAGAGTAACATGAGAAAGAGGATAAGGAGATGAAGAAGAAAAATAACAAGAAGAAGAAGAAGTAGTAGAAGAAGAAAAACAAGAAGAAAGAGAAGAATAAGAACAAGAAAAAAAGACTACAAAAAAAAAAAATTGTCTTCAACATTTACGGTAATTTTTTTTGGTGGTGAAAATCAATTTTCTGTCTTTACCAGAACTCGTGTTCACCTCAAAGTCTCTTGATAAATGGATGGACAACATTCAACTGGAGAAATGATGGATACACTGAATAATACCTACACCTCATAGATCCCAAGAAGTCCAAATGACTTGGAACTGTTCAAGCAACCCACATGGTACCGATGGGACAGACGGATGGATGGACAACTCAAATACAAAATACCTCTAGTACCAAAGTGATAGAGACATAACATGTTCATGTGGATAATGAACAGATGGATGGAGGCTCCCACAAAATGATGCCTATACATATCTGACTTCTTGGAGCTAATCTCTAGGTTCCACTACACACAAAGGAAAAGAAACCCTCTAATGAGTTGAGACAATCATATTGCTATGACAATACTTACTGATCCTTCATCATCGTCATCTTCCTTGAGCTTTTCTCTCTCTCTGATACAATTGGCCTCATTGATGATGGCATTGAGAATAGATACTGGTTTAGCGTCCCTTACAAATGGATGCTATAGAGAGAAAATAATTCATCAAGATAGACACATCAGTGCATGCATGTAGTAACACAAACATCATTTTCAATTTTATATTATAAAAACTAGATGGATCTTCGACTGACCCTAAAATCTAATTAGTTCTTTGGCTCTGCAAGTTACATACATGACCCAAGTTTGGCGGGAATCTATCAATTGGTTCTTGAAAAAACGTGACATATGGAGGGACAGACAAACCGAGGCATAAACAGTATATCTTCCTCTCCTAATATCAAATTGTTGAAGCCAAACTTGGTAATACATGTATGTTTAGTTGATCAAGTCTGAAACAAGTAACAAGTATAAAACTATTAAACTATGAAAATAAAATTGGGACTTCCTTTAGGAGGAAACATTTGAAGTTATACTACAGATTTGCATGATAGATTACCCAACTTACATCTTTCATAATCATTTGAGGTAATCTGATGATTGATAGTAGGATCAAGACTAACCTGTAATAAATCTGTAGCTGTAGCTCTGTCTTCAGGGCTCTTTATGAGGCACTTGGAGGTGAAATCAATGAAGTCTTGGGACCACTTCTCTGGATCTCTGAACGTAGGAGGTGGCTTCGTTGGGATCATGAAGATTGCCTGTATGAGATGAGAAACAAGGGCGCATGAATAAACAATGTGGGCCTGCTGTGATCAAGTCGCAATCAAGAGCAATGTACACTAACCTATGTACACAGAGCTTTCAGCTGCTAGAGTAGCTTATGAATACCATTCAAACAAACATGTCCTCTGACTTAACCCCATGACTATCATCTGTAAGAGGCTGGCACACTCTCATACAAAGTACTTTCTTACCCTCCGTATCTGAAGAACAGTTTAATAATTACCCCCATCCCACAATAGACCGTTCCATACACACTCTCTTCCTTCCGAGCACTATTCCATACTTAGTCCAACCACGGAACATTCTATACTTACTCTCATAGGGTGTATCTCTGCATATGGTGGTTTTCCCTCAGCCATCTCTAATGCTGTGATACCTAATGACCAGATATCAGCCTTGCAATCATGGCCAATCTCCTGGAGATTTGATACCCTAAGTATTATTCTATACTTACTCTCATAGGGTGTATCACTGCATATGGTGGTTTTCCCTCAGCCATCTCTAATGCTGTGATACCTAATGACCAGATATCAGCCTTGCAATCATGGCCAATCTCCTGGAGATTTGATAACCCAGGTATTATTCTATACTTACTCTCATAGGGTGTATCTCTGCATATGGTGGTTTTCCCTCAGCCATCTCTAATGCTGTGATACCTAATGACCAGATATCAGCCTTGCAATCATGGCCAATCTCCTGGAGATTTGATAACCCAGGTATTATTCTATACTTACTCTCATAGGATGTATCTCTGCATATGGTGGTTTTCCCTCAGCCATCTCTAATGCTGTGATACCTAATGACCAGATATCAGCCTTGCAATCATGGCCAATCTCCTGGAGATTTGATACCCTAAGTATTATTCTATACTTACTCTCACAGGGTGTATCTCTGCATATGGTGGTTTTCCCTCAGCCATCTCTAATGCTATGATACCTAATGACCAGATATCAGCCTTGCAATCATGGCCAATCTCCTGGAGATTTGATAACCCAGGTATTATTCTATACCTACTCTCATAGGGTGTATCTCTGCATATGGTGGTTTTCCCTCAGCCATCTCTAATGCTGTGATACCTAATGACCAGATATCAGCCTTGCAATCATGTCCAATCTCCTGGAGATTTGATACCCTAAGTATTATTCTATACTTACTCTCATAGGGTGTATCTCTGCATATGGTGGTTTTCCCTCAGCCATCTCTAATGCTGTGATACCTAATGACCAGATATCAGCCTTGCAATCATAGCCAATCTCCTGGATGACTTCAGGTGCCATCCAGAATGGTGTTCCTATCACTGTGTTTCTCTTTGCCATGGTGTCCTGGAAGGGAAAAATATGTAGCCCAATTAGATCATGGTTTAACGAGGACTTGAACTTAACATGGCTTTAATTCAGATGACAAAAGCAATAGTATACATTTTAGAAAAATGGTCAAGTTCTCACTGATAGTGATAAGAATTGAGTGAAACAGTGATTATGTTCTCGGAATCCAGAGTCATGTGGCCCTGTGGAAAGATATTCTTTTCACTATAATTATGGAATAAAAGTTCATCATTAATACTCATGTTTCTTATTGTGAAAACTTGTAAAATGATGATGTTAAATATGTGCAATTTAAAAATCACATTTCACCTTGGTAGCCAATTACTTGACAATATAGAATAGCAAGAAGTGGCATATAAATTAAGGAGGACAAGTCAACATGGTCTAAATCGATGATGTAATAATGTTTTAGAGAACTTACAGTGAGCTGTCCTGCAACTCCAAAGTCTGCTAGTTTGGCATTGCCCTCGTTGTTGAGGAGTATGTTTCCTGCTTTAATGTCTCTGTGTATCTTCCTCATGAAGTGGAGGTACTCTAAGCCTTTCAGTGTGGAGTAGAGAATGGTTGCTATTTCAGCTTCATTTAACTAGATAAACAAAACAGGCATAACGAGTGAAAGACAGAGATTAGAAAAAAAGAACAAAGCGATAAAAAGGGTTAAAAAGAGATGAGGGAGGGATCAAATATAAGGGAGGTGGAGTTAGGTATGAAGAATAAAAACACAAATGCAAAAAAAAGAGAGTAAAAATAGAGCTGGAATGGGGTATATTATTACCGCAGTGGTTAAAAATATATACAAAAACAAACTCAAACATAATTCTATTCCTTTATAATGTAGTTGTCATGGTAACAAATCAATACATACTTTCCTTTTTCCCCATTCCCAATTTCATGTACTACAATAACATCCGAACAACTAAGTGGTAACTATATTCATATTTGAGGAAAACAAACAATAAAATGCAGTCAGTGTCTGTTTTATTAAAAATATATCACTGTAACAGTTACATTTCAAATGCCTATAAAGACTACATAGACTCACTAATTGTGAAATTGGGTTAGTCTAATAAAGAATAATATAAAGTTTAAACTTTACTTGAATGCTCTCTCTAAAATCTACAAGTCACTTTTACTAAGACAAAGATAGTAAACCATGTTTGAATAGCATTCATGTTACTTACTGTTTTATTTCTTCTCCTCATGATATCTGACACTGAACCTGCTCCACAATACTCCATCACAATCTGCAGGACAAAGGTTACAGCATGCAAGGAGTTAAGAGAGAAGATGAAAGTGCAGTTTAGTAATTTTGTATTATATGTACATTAAAAAAGAACAACTTTAACAATGTAGTTTCTTTCTTACTAATCATCAAACAATTTATCAAGAATTGTTGATATCCTGTGCTATCAGAGAGAAATCACCAAACTCTATTAGTAATTCATTTGAGGATTGAATGAAATAACAAAAAATAGGCCTGTGTCAAAAAGAACTCTCTGTGTCTCATAAAACTGTGGCCTATATGTACATTCCAGTGAATAAACATATCTCTGACTCTGAGTCAGGTCCTACCTCATATTGGTGATCTTCTGTCTCATATGCTCTCAGCATTACTAATATCTGTACTCTATTTTGCAAGGATATGTCATGCCAAATAAATACAAATAAATCTTTAACCATTTATATGAACCTCTCTACAGTGTCTTAAAAGCTTCCTTTAGATATAACACAAACCGCTTCAGGGAAATCACAGCGACAAATTAAAAATAGAATGTCACGTGCAGGTTACAAAAAGGACATTAAAAAGTGTGCATACTACGCCATTTAACTTATTTTGCTACAGCTGGTTTTTTGGACTTCTTTCTCTTTATTTAAATGATGCTTACCATATTATATTTGAATGAGGCTAAAAAAATAAACAAACTATTGTTACCCAGAGGTCTGTGTTCTTGAAGTAGCTTCCATAGTACTTGACAACATATGTGCTGTCACATTGCTGCATGATTGAGATCTCTTTGATGATCTCTTGTAGATCTGTATCCACTGGTACCTGTTTTATGGCCAGTACCTGCCCAGATTCCTTGTGTATTGCCTTGAACACGCTGCCATAGGAACTACAGGGATATAAGAGATACTTGTTTATTGTATAAGATGCATGGTGACTAACTCAAACAATGTTGCTTTTTGAACGTATAATAATTGAGTTTTGATGAACTAATATTATATTTTCTGGTGGAAAAAAAAATTGCTTGTATAATTTTTTCGGGAGATGCTAATGAATTTGCTCAGATAAGCTTAACACTTACAGGTGCATTGACAGATGTCTTCTTTTTCTGACCTCTATGTACACAGAATCAGCTCAAAGATATTTCACACCACATTCCTGGGTCCCATATATGGTATCCAACTGCCATATGATCTCATTAGTGTAATGAAAGAGCACAATATATTGGACAAAAATTCAATGATTACATTGGTCAATTGAAAAAAAAAATTTTTAAAGTTAATTTCATTTCTTAAAATTTCAAAATGTGTAATCATGAGGAAGCATTTTACTCACCCTTCTCCAAGCTTCTCCAAGAGATCAAAGACCTCCTCAGGTTCCTTAGTGAGTGCATCTTCACTTAGCTTCTTCAACATACACGTACCGGTACTGCAAGAAATTAACAGAACAACATTTCTTAGAATTTTGGTTTTGAAAGTTTCTACTGAATTGCAAGCAACAATGATAGGGGGAAGTAGATTCCAGGCTCAAATGGTTTTATTCAAGAAGGCATTCGTGTTGCATCTTTTGTTTTAGAAGGAGAGACCATGGTGTCCCTTCAGGATCTTCTGGGGTTGTGTGATGTATTCAGGTCTGGGTATGGCTACTTGATCTTAAATGGATTTGAAGAAGAATGAGTGCCTAGCTACTTAACATTGATTTTGTAGTGGTTGTCATTTTATTTCACTCCTTAGGTCTGATACATGGACATCTGTTCCGTATTTACCAGTGACAAATCTTGCCCCTCTGTCCTGGACACACTCTAGTTTGTCGACGTGTTTGCTTAAATAAGGATCCCATACACTACATGCATATTCTAGACGAGGTTTCTGAACCTCTTAGAAAGATTAACCAGACGGATTATGACGAATCATCCCAAGCATACAGTTGGCCTTTGTGACTTCTTTATCCACTTGGTTCTCCCAGGATAAGTTATTGGAATGTTGGTCTAATCATAAACAGGATGGACCTCCTACTAGCTTTAGCGTGTAAACCAATGACCGGGGTAATAGTATATTTGTAAAGCGCTTAGAGACATTTGTATTAAGCGCTATATAAAAATTAAATATTATTATTATTATTATTACTATTACAACATAACATGGACAATCAAATCATTAGGTTGAATCATATACCATTTTAGTACATGATTTTAATACTAAAATAGAAAGAAATTTTGTAAAATTATTTCTAAAGGTACTATTTAAGCATTTGATAGCCCAAGACTTGAAAATTTTCGGCATGAAAAAAAAAAAAACCTGCCAATTTTATTTGCCAAAATCACAGGTGCGAGGGTGTCGCTCTGATCTTCCAATCCGATCAAAGCCCCAATTGACAGGGTTAGCTGTCTATCTCAAATGAGCAGATAGCCTGCCGCTGACCTGTGTCACTCTTCTTCTTCTTCTTCTTCCTCCGTTGTTCTCGGAGATCTGCAGTTGTATTCTGCAAGCGTCAGTGTTGGTGTCTTTCGTCTCCAGCTGTTGACATTGTAGTTACAAACATTCAAGTGACCTGTGTTAACAACCAATCGTAACGATAAACAATGCGATGTAATCAAGCGCTGAGGTCTCCCTTCATTTTGAAAAAAGTCATAAAATCAGAAAATGGTTGAACTTAGTTGGCTGAATATGGTTGGCCCAAACAGTAGGCTCAAATATCTGCAAAACAAAGGAAATTTTCACCAACAAAACTTGTAAGTTCCATTCGCATTCGTTACTTATTTGTATTCAACATTGATTCATCAAATTGTTTATCATAACATTTGAAAGTTTCATACAGCGGGTTTTACAAAATATTACATGAATGTACAGTGAAAAAAATACACGGGGGCTCAGGGCGAATTTGCCCCCGAAATGCCTAAAACAGCCCCCGAAAATCAGAAAAGAGCCCCAGTAAATTTGCATAGAGTTCAATGCAAAACAAATTTTAGAGTGTTATTTTTATGAAGGCAAGCTTGAAAAGTAGCCCCCGAAAAATAAATATTAATTTTTTCCCTGTGAATGTACTGCAGTACAATGTTGCCCGGATAGTTTAATAGTAATGCTGCTATGTCACATATGTGCGGTATCGTCAATGAGGTAAAGTCAGGGCCGGACGTAGCACTTGGTAAAGTTGAATTTCATTGGCCACTTGTCTGCCCATGTAGACAGCCTGTCCAAAATCGCCTGGAGTATTTCAGTGTCATTGATCATCTTGATCACTCGGTAAATTAAAAAAATGTAAATCCCTAAAAAATGTGACATTTTAATTTTCATCTTTTGGGTTTTATTGATACTTTTTTCCTTGATTCTGCTGATATTTTGTAAGTCAAATGGCCAAAGATAATGGTTGCTTCAATAGTTTAATTTTAGATCTACTCAAAATTGTTAGCATTGCTGATCACTTGGGCCTTTTGAAGTTAGCTGCATGTATTGCAGCAAGCATTGGAAGGCTGTGCCCACACACTCAAACCCGTGTGTGGTTTGTCAAATGCCATTCAACATTCAATGCGTACTCAGTCAATGGCAATGCAAAAACACGTCACATATAAACTGATCCTTGCTCAAATGAGTCATGTTTTTACCTTGTTGAAGTCATCTTTGCCGTGATCCTGTGATAAATCTGAAAACCATGACAGATTTACATCTGTTCGGTATCAAAGACAATGGTAAAGTAAGAAAATATACCAACTTTACCAAGCCAAAACAAACCGGAAATCTTTGAAGATCGGTCACACTCTATCTCTCTCGCTGCGAGTGTTATCGTGCGACCATACTGCAACGAGATTTTTACAGTGAGAAAATGCGAGAGAAAACAAATAAAATCATGTCAAAGGTCACACGATAAAAGAATTGATTTACTCCGGCAAAATGAGCACTATACTTCCACATATCGAACGTCTTTCAGCTCGAATAATTCGAGTTTTAGGATGCAATCCTGGACCCATGACGCTTCGTGGCACTAACACTTACATTGTTGGCACAGGGACGAGGTAAATACCACTCGAAACAAGTAATTTATTCCATGTTAAGTCCCACTCGTTAATACCTGTGAAAGTCATTTTCGACTTGACTTGTCTTGACAAGATGAACCTTGAAGAGTTAAAGAGCTAGCTAGCTGGCGCCATGCTGGCTAGTGGCTAGAGAGCTAAAGTGGAGTGAAGTGCAATGATGGAATGTTGAAAAATAGAAGACAGGGCTAGGGTTGTCAACTGAGGGGAACTGCTTCGAGGGAGATCGTATTTGTACAATAGCTCAACGCCGCGGGGGGGGGGGGGGGGGGGGGGGGGGGGGGGGGGGGGGGGGGGGGGGGGGGGGGGGGGGGGGGGGGGGGGGGGGGGGGGGGGGGGGGGGGGGGGGGGGGGGGGGGGGGGTGTTGAATACATTTTATTTACAAATAATGATTTTATTTTTAGTGCTCACCCCCCCCCCCCCCCCCCCCCCCCATGTTTGACAGGAAGTTTTTTCATAAACCAGGAGATTCTACATTGTAGATCTACATCAATTATCAAAGCGGGAGAGCGGTAGGAAGGGCGTGGTGGCGGGATTCTCCCGCTAGTACGACTCCGAGCTGGTGAGACGGCGGGAGAATGAGCGTGGTGACGTGAGACTCCCTCCAAATTTGGGTGGGTTGATAGCCCTGTACTATGTAGAAGATGATATTAATTTGTTTTTAAATACAGACTGGCATGGCAGCAATCAAATATGCAATGTGACTTAGACTATGGTAAGCATGACTGCACATAGCTTATCGGGCACTAGGTCTAATTATTAATGTTCCTATTAAATTCAAATATTAGTCGAAATCTAGACTTGCCATGACCGTCACTTGCCACTCTACGGTCGGCTACATTACATTACACCTAAATTAAATAAGTGGGCCTAAATTTAAAAACCAAAAATGTGATTCTGTTTTTGTCAAATAATTTATTATAGATTTTCTTTAAAGATGGAGTTGAGTTCTGGTCATGTGATTGCATTGTGAAAGAAGCAGTGTGGAATCGACCAGAAAAGGTTGATCATCTAGCATATAAGAATTTGTGTGTATTGCAAGGTTCTGGAATCATCAAAATGATAAGAAAGTTGGCTAAGTCTTGGTAAAGTTACAAACACTGTACACAGAAAGATGTATATGGGACTACACGAACACGTGGCCTAAAAATCCTACCCTGGATTTTTACGATGTTACATGACATATTTAGAATATGAAGGCATTTGAAGAGCCATGCTTTTCAGGGAACATGTCTTATCTGATGCTGTCTTACCAGACTCAGCAGTCAGGGGGCCATTTCTCGAAACCGTCATAACTACAAGATCAACGACATCTCGCCACTGTCGCGCAACTTGTCAGCCAAGTGTTTCACGAAGCCGTCTTTGCCAAGATGAGCGACAACTTCCGCGACAATGAGTTGTCACTGCTCCGAACCCATCATATCTTTTTAATTGCTGTAAAGCGCCATCACAAGTCAGTTTGTTGGTATTCCATGTGCCGCGAAATGTACGATTAGTTTCACTATCATTTTGAGAAAAATATAGACGAGTTCGGTACGTAATTCTCTGGGATGTGAAATGCAAATGTACAGAAGTGATAATACAAATTATACAGAAATTTAAAAAAGCTGAATATAAACATTAAATCAAAAATCATGAAACTATAAGATATAAATAGAAGAGATAAGAATGTTACACACCATTGTCCATAGTCAATCCATAGTCTTTCTTAGGATACCATCATACCTTAGGGGCCTATGTGCATTATTATTCCCTCTCTAATTACTTCTTTCAAATTATATTTTCAATATCAAATCAATTATATAACGAGTATTATCAGACTCTAGAATAAAAACTGGCTGAGAAAAGGTATTTTGCCTAAAATTCCTCGTCACAATAAACAAAAAAAGTATGTATTGATAAACTATCACATTACGGTATCCTTCAACTACCTTGTGAGTGGATTGTCGAGAAAAAAAAAACCTCACGGTTTCTTTCTTCAATTTAGGAATCTTTACAGAAATATGCAAATCATTTGATGATCTGCATTTGATAATGACACTATTTGTTATTTATTTTAGGAGAATTAATATATAAATGTTTCTTTTGAACAATTTTAGCCCCAAAACTTGTTTTGGGTTATTCGTGATAAATCAAATGGATCGTGACAAAGATTATGTTCTTGAGCTGCTTGTATCGCGATATATCGATATCATGTCTGTCATGGCTTTGTGAAAAGGTTTATCCACGTCATGACATCTCCGTAGGTCGGCGACAAAGATATGACTGTCATGGAGTTGGTTTCGAGAAACGGCCCCTGAGCAACAAGTGTAAATCAGTTCAAATCCATCCTTGGGAAATATTGGTACGGCCACCCCCTTAAGTACAGTCCATACCAGAGAGATAGCATTACCTGGAGGGGCAAATAAGTTTATCTTTATGCTTCAACATCAAAGTAAGTAAAATCAAAGTAAATACGTCATCTTGCATAACACACTGCTTTATACAGGTGACGCACTTCACATATAACTGACACACACTCAGCTCACCATAGGTACACTGTTACACACATGAAATAGAAAAATCAATGAGCATTTCAGTACAACTTACAAGTTTGTACCTTACTTTAAATTAGTGCTGTACTGTAACATCACGGATATCTCTGATTCCGTTTAACCGCCAGTCAAAACCGGACGGTTTTTGGTTAAACGATTAAAAAAAAAAAAAATTTTAAAAGAAAAACGAGGTGCATTTGAAGGTGCCGATTTGTGCTTGTGAACTTGTCACAAATAATAGTAACAATGTGGTTTTTAGAAGAATGTGTAAGTTCATTAATGTAAATTAAAAACAGTAGAGGACCTAGGATGGAACCTTGTGGTACGCAGTTTGTAAAAGTTGGATGAATTATTACTATAAACTACATATTGAGATCTATTACAAAGATTACTTTCAAACCAAGATGACAGACAATTTGGAGTGTTGTTCTAGTTTCTGAGTGGATTACACAGATTACTGAGCTGAAAGACATTGCCAGGCATAGTGCCAGGTGGAGGGGCATAAATCGAAACTCTAAAAAAAAAAAAAAAAAAAAAAAAAAAAAAAAAACGGGAAAACGAAACCGTCCAAATGAAAACGGAATCCGCCATGGGCGGTCGGATACCGGATGGTTAAACGTTTGACTACAGCACTACTTTAAATATGACGAAAATGAGAAATTTTCAAACTTAAGTGGGGCTTAAACTTGAGTGAAATACTGAACTTTTTAAGGATGCTGAAAAAATAGTCCAAAATAGAAAGTTTGACTGGAATATGATTTTGGTATCAGATCAAACAGAAAGCCCTGTTAGTGTCATGTCCTGTTTATCACCACGGCTAATGGTCTGATTACTTTTGAGAACTCAATACAATTTGAACAATTTAGTAATTTGCTGATCATTTGCCATTACATTGCTTTTCAAGGAAAATACAAAACACAAGAATAAGATAACACATCTATAGATTTTGAGGACATCGAAGCTTGGTTTAAGGGCACTTTTTTCTTCTTTCTTCATGGTACACCTGCTTCCTGATGTACAATTTAGATTATAAGATGGGTAGAAGAATCCCTGCAATCTGATTGGTCAATTACCATGTAATTATTTTTACTGGATGCACGCGATATCGGCGATCGATACCACCGATATCCTTTTGTTAAAAATAATTCTCAATTTAAAAAAAAAAAAAATTTTGAAATAATTTTTTTGATAATTTTTTTTTGGTGATAATTATTAGTTTTTCGTGTTTTTTGATAATTATAATCTGTTAAAAAAAAATTGAAAAATTCTATAATTTAAAAAAAAATTACCGGACGCATGATTTTGCCATGCATCCGGTAAATCTGTAAAATAACAACATTTTGTATTTTTGACAATTTTTGGGGCCCCATCTTATAAACAGATGATGCACAGGTTTAATTCGTGGGTCGATGGAATTGTGTGCACGCGGTACCTTTGAATATGCAGAGCTACCAAGTATCACGTGAAAAAACGCTATACCTTATACATATGTTATACCCTCGCACGCACGCTCGCGTGCCGAATCATGAAAATGTCACGCATTGCCGATCTTTGAACTTGGCGTCTCTGAATATGGTCTAAAACCCACTCAGCTGCGCTTCATGGGTTCAAACCATTCAAAGGTACCTTGTGCACACAATCCCTACCGAGGCACTCAAACCTGTGCATCATTTGTATACCGTAATTTTTATAAACCGCACCTTTTTGCCGCCGAAAAAAATTCAAAGTCGGGGGTGCGGTTTATACACGGTACACCAAGGGCGAAAAAGAGGGGTACAGTTAATACACGAGGGCGGTTTATACTAGTGCTGTAGTCAAACGTTTAAACCGTCCGGTATCCGACCGCCCATGGCGGATTCCGTTTTCAATTGGACGGTTTCGTTTTCCCGATTTCTTTTTTTTTTTTTTTAAATATTTTTTTTTTTTTTTTTTTTTTTTTTTTTTATAATTTTTTTTTTTTTTTTTTTTTTTTTTTTTTTTTTTTAAAGTTTCGATTTATGCCCCTCCAGCTGGCACTATGCCTGGCAATGTCTCCCAGCTCAGTAATCTGTGTGTTGACTCACCACTCCAAAACTAGAACAACACTCCAATTTGTCTGTCATCTTGGTTTGAAAGTAATCTTTGTAATAGATCTCATCATCTCAATATGTAGTTTATAATAATAATTCATCCAACTTTTACACAAGGTTCGGTCCTACATTAGGTCCTCTACTGTTTTTAATTTACATTAATGATCTTACACATTCTTCTAAAAACAACATTGTTACTACTATTTGTGACAAGTTCACAAGCACAAATCGGCCCCTTTAAATGCACCTCGCAGTTAAATGAAAGTTGCCGACAGAGTCGGTAAAAAAAAAATTAAAAAAAACGATTTTTTTTTTTTTTTTTTTTTTTTTTTTTTTTTTTTTTTTTTATTATTTTTTTTATTTTTTTTTTTAAATAATTTTTTTAAAGCGTTTAACCGAAAACCGTCCGGTTTTGACTGGCGGTTAAACGGAATTGGAGATATCCGTGATGTTACAGCACTAGTTTATACAACGTTGATTACGGTATTGTTTTTAAATTGATTTGGAAGCAGTAACTGTCTGTCTATTGCATATTAATTTAATCTCAACTCCTGTCCTGCATACACTCAACTTTTTGTGTGGGGGAAATTCCCATTCAGGAACCTGGGGCCCATACCTAGAAGCGTCATAAGTCTAACTTCTTGACTATCCCATTGAAACGTGTGTTAATTCTATAACACATGTTTCAATAGGATAGTCAAGAAGTTAGACTTATGACGGTTTCTAGGAACGGCCCCTGGTCCCTGTTCAAAAAGTCAAACCGAGGCTCTGCAAAACCTGTAACGACTCGGGCCTGGCTGTTGACTATCTTAAACAATATAATATGGTTTGAAAGATACTTGAAAATTATGATTTACCGGTATATACATGTACCGGTATAAAAATGATGCACAGGTTTGAGTGCGTCGGTAGGAATTGTGTGCACAAGGTACCTTTGAACGAGGAGCAGCCAAGTTGATTTTAGACCGAATTTGAAGGTACCTCGTGCACACAATTCCACCGACCCACAAATTAAAACCTGTGCATCATCTATTTTATTAAATGGGGCCAAAAAAAAAATCGTCAAAAATACAAAAATCTGTTATTTTACAGATTTACCAGGTGCATGGCAAAATCATGCTTTCCGGTAATTACCGGATGCATGATTTTGCCATAGCCATGCATCCAAAAATTACAGGAAAGCATTATTTCATGAAACTTATCATGATATTTATTATTTTAAATAAAAATTGTTAGTGCAATGGATGAAAACATATGTAATGACTTACCTTCAAATTAAAGTACTGTATATAGACCACCGGTAATTTTTTTTTTTTTTTTTTTTGAAGTTGTAAAAAGGATTTTTTTAAATTATAAAAGACAATAAAAATTACCCCTCCCCCCCCCAAAAAAAAAAGAAATGCCCACTTTATCTACTATTTATTCATATGCTCTTATTCATTAATCAAAAATAACAATTAATCATCAAATGATTATTAGACCAAGGGTAGTAGACGAAATGGGCATTAAACAAACTGGTTGTAGACCAAATGGCTATTCACCCCAATGATCTACATGCATAATCTGGAACTATTTTGCTTTCTACTTTCTACTGACAGGCAATATATATATTCCTAAGTGTCGTTGATTGACAATTTTATGGCATGAGGAAAGGCTAGATTTTTGCTTTTACAATCTATATTTCCGGTTGAGCAATTATGCAGGTACATGCACCCCTGCCTCAGTTCCTTCTACCGGTATGAAACATAGGAATTCGTCTGGATGAAAAAGCTGGGCTATGTACATGTATTACCAGCTTCAACTGAGCTGTTTCGCTTTTTCATTTAATTTTGTAAATTCTGTGTGATCTTTGGCATGTTGTTGCATGTTTCATTGATAATAGCTGTGTATCTCACTCACTTGATAACTTGTCTGGAGCAGCATTTTTAACCAGTGTCAGTGATTATAGGACAACGGGATACAGACTATATTTTCATTGTAGAATATAAATATATGATTTATAATTGAAACCAAGGATATGGCCGCTGCATTTCCAGAGGTATCACAGTTATCCAATTGTGTGTGGCGAGTTCTTGGTCTAAACCCTAACCCCTATACCCTTGCTGGAACAAACTGTTATATAGTTGGAACAGGAACAAGGTATAGTTGAATACTACAACATATGTTCCAAATGTGCATTAAGTAATTTACATTGGTGGTATACATAACAATTACGGTAGCCTACATGTAACGTATTGTTTGCTGAGAGCCAGAAGGTATTAACTCCTATACTGATTACACAGAATTAAGACCCTTCTGGCTCTCAACAGACGATTTGTAACAAATTTTGTTTCATTTTCTCTTTTGCTACAAGTGAAAAAGCTAATCAATGAGAATTGAAAGTGTTTACTTCATGCATGATAAAGTGACAGGAAGTGTGTAAGATGAGGGTACCATCACATTTTTTAATTGATAGCAAACCGATATAGGACTGTACCACATACATGTAATCTTTCACAGCTTTAATCATGTCTGCATACATTCCTAACATTTCTCAAATATCTGATCTTGTGTGGAGAGTTTTAGGAGACAATGCCAGTCCTGGGCATCTACAAGGAACCAATTGTTACTTAATTGGTTCTGGAAACAGGTACATTTCAAAATTCAAATTTCTATTATTTGTAAAGCGTACCAGGTAGTTAATGCCTGACATGTTCTTCCATCAGAACTGGGCACTTGTTGTATTACTTTCTTTATTGTATAAATAATTTTTTGTTTTGCTATTTTATTTTGCTTGTGTCTATATAGGAGAGTGTTGATCGATACTGGGGAGGAAAACAAACCTGAGTTTCTCAAGAATTTAAGGAGTACTCTTGCAGAGAATGGTACCTCAATACAAGAGATCCTTGTAACTCATTGGCATCATGATCATGTAGGAGGTATAGCGGATATCTTTCAAGAACTTCAATTAAGTAAGTGAACTTGAAAGCTTATCAATAATAATCATAATAACGCGGCATGTTTAGAGTGCCTCTATACATGCATGTTGTATTCATCTATGACATGATTTTTATAATCACATCAAATCATATCATAAATTGTTCTTAGAAATGATTTCCCTGGCTCTATCATTGTAGCCAGTATCAGCACACTGTATTTCAAGGAATAAACCTCTCCTTTGGAAGTAAAGGGAATGAACAATGGTTTTTAAACAGTCACAAGAGCAGCACCACATCTGGTAATTGTTCAATTAGTTTTTACTAAATTGCCCAAATTAATGGGCAATTGCATTTCTTGAGAATCATTTTCATTAAGAGGAACTATTGTAAAGACCAGAAACTTTAATGTCAAGAATCTTTCATGAATTGTGCGAATTACTGTTTTTATGCCTCTGTTAAGAAGTAGCCGGAGGTATTATGTTTTCGGGTTGTCCGTCCGTCCGTACGTTCCGTTCTCGTGATCGCGTTATCTGAAGAACCGATTGATTGATGGATTCCTACCAAACTTTGGTCATGTGTGTATCTTGCAGAGCCGATGAACTGAGTAGATTTTGGGGGTCACGAGGTCAAAGGTCAAAGGTCACAGGGCTCATTATGTATGCAAAAACAGCTCGTGATCGCGTTATCTGAAGAACCGATTGATGAATTCCTGCCAAACTTTGGTCATGTATGTATCTTGCAGAGCCGATGAACTGATTAGATTTTGGGGTCACGAGGTCTAAGGTCACAGGGTTCATTATGTATGCAAAAACAGCTCGTGATCGCATTATCATTAGAACAGATCGATGGATTCCTGCCAAACTTAGATCATGTATGTATCTTGCAGAGCCAATGAACTGAGTAGATTCTTGGGTCATGAGGTCAAAGGTCAGAGGTCATGGGCTCATTATGCAGAGCCAATGAACTGAGTAGATTTTAGGGTCATGAGGTCAAAGATCAAAGGGTCATATATGTAAATGAGAAATTGCTTGTAATCATATTCTGAGAACCTATTAATGGATTACAATTAAACTTGAATTTGAAACATTTCTTCTGTTTTGGTTTGTAAAATTGCTCTATGACGGAGGCATCATTTTCAACTTCGCGCAGTCGAAGTTCCATCTAGTTTCAATTGCAATTAAATTATTTCATGGCACAAAAATTTCATGAATTTGAACCACTTGCAAAGTTCATGAATATTTCATGCATATTTCATGCAAACTTTCTGGTTTGACAGTATAATCTGGAATTCAATATTCACTACCATTTGTTTAACAGAAGACGATGTGAAGGTGTCGAAGCTGCCACGTCATCCTTACCAAGATGAAGAGATCAGTGGAGGTAAACTCAAATACAACTACCTTCAAGATGGAGAGAAAGTACAAACAGAGGGCGCTACATTGAGGTCAGTTTCTCTGCATTTATATGATGTAGTTCCGTGTATTAGGTGATGGCTATCGCCACTCTTCAATTCAATTCAATTCATTTTCAATTTAAAAACAATTTACAAATCAATAACAAATACATATGAATAATAGTGGCGGGATCATGAATAGCACTAATTGGCTTATTGAAAATGACCCCTTAACAAAGTATACACATAACATATTTTACATTGTAAGAAAATATCAAAAATCATAACAGGAAAAACATAAAACATAAAAATTAAATATTATTATTATTATTAGCATCAAATTTTAAAAAAATCATAAGGAAGAAAAGATAGGCAACATAAAACATAAACAAAATATTTATCATTTATGAGTTCAGGAGGTGTTGTTTATCTGATTGTTTGAGCTGTTGAACAGTCTTACAATTCTTGAAATTAGCATCATTAGTCATACATCATCTTGATGATGGATAGTCAACCTGTTTGAAACGTCGAGCCATTCCCACCACTCATCCTCTCCAAGCGCTATAGTTCTCCTTAGAACTATAAGCTAAGAAAGATAACCAACAGTCTTTTTCAAGACTATACCAACAGTCCTTTTCAGGACTAACAAACCCTCAAGAAAGATTACCGAAAGTCCTTTTCAAGACTCCTCAATCCTCCCTCTCTCTCACATGGTGCACCCGCAAGCCTACTGTATATCATTATGTATGTTTTGTATAACAATGTGAAGGGGAACAGATAAATTTTGTCAACACGATTCACATAATGCATACCCTTTATATTTCCTGTATTTATCATGAATAATAATTCCCCATCCTTTATGAGGGGAAAAGATGACTAGAATGTCAGAATTACTTTTACAGTAGTCACATGACATCATGTGACCAATTACATTGCCTTTGTTTTTTGATATATTTCATATTTTCATCTAATGCACTCAGAACAATTTGATTAAGTATGACATATGTTAATTATGAAAGCTGTCATCCTGAACTAATAAAACTTCTTCTTTTTTCTTTGATTGTAGGGCTGTGTACACTCCAGGCCATACTGATGATCATATGATATTAGTACTAGAGGAAGAGAATACAGTATTTACCGGTGACTGTGTTCTAGGAGAAGGTACAGCTGTAAGTATCACCTCCAAGCTATTATGAACCAAACACTTGATAAGGGTGACTGAGAGATATCCATAAACTCATTCGTAATGAAATAGACCTTTGAGGATGTAAAACAACAATTCAAATTCTAATTGACGAAACCCACTCTGGCTTACATTTACCTAAATAATGGAATACAATTTTGTATGAATTTGTATACATGTGCCCCATAGCAAAATATATCTTAAATTTTTTTGTGACTAATAACGCCTATACAAAAGGAGCAGTTTTTCTCCTTTCTTACTTGTCATCATTTTTGTCACATTTATGACCCCCTGGTGTAAATGTAACCTTATTCTTTTTACCTATTCGTTTTTAATCATGTGCCCCCACACACACAAACACACACGTACATCCACTCAGATATTATAACATATTTGTTACTATCTGTATAATTCAGAATTGATAGATTGAATATACCTGCATAGGAAGTATGTGACAATGATGTCTTGATCTTTGCATGTTGGCTTGTAATAAACACAATACCAATACTTTTATGAGGCTTAAAGGTTGACTTATATATTCCAATTTCATATTACATTCATCTTTACACAAAACTTTTACTATATTTGATCATGTAATTCACTGATTTGTTTTCTCTCCTCCCTCTCTCCCCCTTTTCTCCACCCCCCCCTCTCTCTCTCTCACCCCTCTCTCTCTCTCTCTCTCTCTCTCTATCTCTCTTCAACTCTCTCTTTCTTTCAGGTGTTTGAAGACCTCTATACATACATGAAATCTCTGGAATTACTAGTCTCCCTCAAGCCTGAACGGCTTTATCCCGGCCACGGCCCCATAGTTGATGAAGCTGTGCCTAAGCTTCAGATGTATATTGATCATCGTAACCTGAGAGAGAGTCAGATCAGTGCAGTGCTTCAGGAACATGGCAGTACAGACATGGATGCCATGGATCTTGTCAAGATCATCTACACAGTAAGCCCTCGTCTTCTTCTTCTTCTACAGTCTTGGTGACATGCTTGAAAGAAAACAACCTCAAGGGTTAGATGAATTGTTGGTTAAAACAACAGAAAAAACAACTTTACTTATTTAGGCTGTAGATCTTCTGTTCTTGGATGGTTTTTCCAAATTTTCCTTTATGCTTAAAAATAATTCTCTCCTGCTTCAGCTTTGTGCTCTCCCTCTAAAAACTAACGTGACTGTATTAAGGTCAGCAATATGTTTGTATACTAATTACTTTGTTTAGTGAATCAAACATACTTGCAGAGAAAGAAGTCATTAAAGACTAAAAGAGACCCTTAAAATCCAGGAGCTTTTAGGAACACTGCCCCTTAGATTCTATCCATGATCCACAATCTTCCTAATCATTCAGATTGGTCTTCACTTTGAATAGAGGTCCATGCAGAAGAGTCTTCACTTCAGGTACAGCTTATGGTTGAAGTCTCTGAAACAAATTTGGTGTGATATATTTGTTTTTCTGTGTCAAACATGGGTAAATGTACCGGTAGTCAATTTATTGAGGTCCACGTGTATGGCAGTGGGGTTGCAGATGACCTTGAGTAGATCATGTAACATTTAAACGTGGAGACCCAAGAAATTTGGACATGTATGGTTGATTAAGATCAGTTCTCTCAACCTCCCCATCTTGTTTAGTTTATATAATTCAACAATAATTCTGGCATACATTTTTCAGGAATGTTCAATTCTGATAGGTTGGTATTATGTTGGGCAATTAGTACACAATTCATTCAAAACTGTTTGTCTCTTTGTTACATTTCAGGAAACGCCAGAAATCCTTCACCCTGCTGCAGCCAGAAATGTCTCGCATCATCTAGAGAAACTAGAGAAGGAAGGAAAGATTGGTAAGTGAATGGATGATAATATGACAATCCTAAATCCAATTCCAGTTTTGAATATGTAGGTTACTTTATTATTTCATGATGCCATATTTGTCAGTACTCCTTATTCAAGCTAAAGTTGATTTATTCATCTGATAAATAAATATATACATCCAGCTTTCAGAAATCCAGATAATGCATACAGCTAGCCTTTTTCCTTTCTCTGAATCATATAATATATACTGTATTTTTTAGCCTCATCAATGCCTTTGGTTTAGCAAAGTCCAAAGTCTTCTACACATTCTCAGATTAGATCGGATTGTATTTTTGTTTGTTTTTTGTATTGTATAAATGAAAGATGGTGCTTTGAATTAATATTATTAAAACAATGCATTGGATATATTTTGTCAATTAAAAAAAAAGAAGTGTACCGGTATGTAAAATACCAAAATTAAATCATTGCATTAATGTCATGTCTTATGCTTCCTTTGAACAGTGAGGGCAGCATCTGATGAGAAGTACTGCTGGAAGAGCAACCTATGAGGGCGCCCTAGCATTACCAAGGACAGTGCCATTGATTAGGAGAGTTTGGGCAACCGTCCATGATGATATACTGCCCATGTTTCAAATGATATTTTTTACAGCTCATATTCTCGAATAGGGCATGGAATATATATCTTCCATGGGAATATATTACCCATGTTTCTGCTTCATGAAGAGAAATGTAGCAATTCTTATTTAAATTACATTTTTTACAGCTAAAAACTCTTGGGCAGATTTTTCCATCCACAGCCCGTACGGAGGTGTGAATATAAACCATGGTGAATAATCAATAAAGGAAAGAATGCTATGTATACTGAATGACTTAGATCATGAAGAATGATGTGATTGATACTGTGGCAGTGAGGTTCGGTAATGAAATGAATCACTCTGAAATTGCGATCAAAACGCAGAATGTAATAATCAATCTTCATATATTAATTGCTTTTTCACATCTGCAACAAACAAAGAAAACCAGCTGTAAACTACACACACAGAAACCTATATATACATTTACTTATATAAGATCTGTGCCCTTTTCTCATAAATTTGTATTCAAGTTTCTATAACTGATGTCAGCTACTGAAATAATTGCATTTGATTGCCTGTAAGTAGATTGTCATAGAATTGTCTTAATAGTTAGTCCAAACCAAATTGTCCTTATTCTTTATTTTTTCTTTACATCTTCTATCAAATTATATTTTATTTGGAAGGTCTGTGTATACATCTTACTATGCTTCATCATATGTCATTTCAGCATTCACAAACTACCATAGGAGCCATGAGTTTAATGATATTAGAATTGTTTGGGCATCAAAAATATCGAACACACTTACAATATTTATAATTTAAAAAGCTTAAAACACTATTAAGTGCTAGTTCTATACAATAGATAAAGTGAAATATTTCATGTAACTATGCAATTTGTTGAGATTATGAGTGCATGTTGTATTGCCTGTACAGCTACCTGAGTGAGCTGCCAAAGGGATTACTCAATCAAGTATCACCCCAATGGATGCATCTACTGATTAAGAATTCACAAATTCAATTGACATTTGATTTATTCTTGTTAACGGAGGTAGAATATTCTATCTATCTTCATTTTGTTTTGTTTTATTTGTTTATAAAAAGAGAAAAGTAGGTCAAGCTGTATTAAAGGGTCACTTTGCAAAGTAATGACATATTTACAAAGCCATTTTACATTATAATTTATCATGTATTGAAATTTCATTAACATTTGTATCATTAAGTATGTTTTGTTTCTTTTTTCTATCTTTCTTTCCAGCTATCTTTCTTTTCTTTTCTTTTTTTCTTTCTTTCTTTCTTTCTTTCTTTCTTTCTTTCTTTCTTTCTTTCTTTCTTTCTTTTTTTTTTTTCTATTTTAAAAAGCAAAACTGTTGAGATTATATCCTACCATCATATATACATATATAAACATTCTTCAGTGTAGATCATCTGAATGATCTTTTTTATTTTCATGTTAAGATTGAATCAAAACCGTGCTTAATAGCATATGAATTATTTTGTATGTACACTGGCTTACCTTTCATATTCCATTACTTATGGAGTTTGATGAAGTAGATCAATTCCATCATTCAGTACAAATATTTGTTATTCATGTATATGTATAAACAATGGTACCAGCAGAATGAGCATGTGGTAATATTTGGGTGATGAGCATTTCTGGATCATGGCAATAATATGGTGATATGTTAACAGAAGTTATTTTATTAAATACTATAAATCTATACATTACACTGGTTTTATTACAAATTTCTTGTTCTTGTGTACATGAGGATCTATCATGATATATCTGATATGGAGTATGAGAAGGTTTTAATAACTGCTGGTAATGAGATGTGTGTTACCATAGTGGCTAACTCTTTGTTGAAGGCTGTTCGACTTCTTATTTTGTCTTCAGCAAACTGATTCTGAATCAGTTCTTTTTAATGGGACATTAAAATGTGTCCCGAGACATTTAGGATAGTGGCTACTTTGGATTGATTTTTAATTAGAGTAGCCAAACATCTACACTATGGCAAATGTAATTTTTCTATACACTGTATGTGCTATATCAAGTGTGTGATATACTGCCATCTAGTGACCAAATTATAGACTGTTCAACTCTCTATCTCCCCCCCCCCCCCCTCTCTCTCTCTCTCTCTCTCTCTGTCTCTCTCTGTGTGTGTCTCTCTCTCACTTACACACACGCACACACATACACACATACACACACACTCTCTTTCCCACTTTTGCCCCTCTCTCTTTCTTTTTCCCTCTCTCCGTCTTTCCCCCTCTCTCTCTTTCCCTTTCTCTCTCTCTCTTTTCGTCTTTCCCCCATGATATTTTTTCAGGTACCACTTGTTTTATGACAGTGACCCAAGCGTAGCCCATCATCACTGTTTTTAACCGACCATACAAAATATTACAGTTTTCCAATTTTACCAAATATGACATTAGAACCCCGTAGCAAGTGCATGGAGTGGCATGATTTTAGAACCTCCGGTTATCTTTTCAAACAACATCTATAAACACGAAATAGTAATGTGCAGGAAAACATATTATTCATTAATACATGAAACAACGATTCCCCCCAATGACAATTCATTAAACTGGAGAGGAGTTATAAATTGTAATTTGTTTGGTGTTCTATATGATTCGAAATATTAACAAATGCTTAGTACTTTCCTCTTGGATTAAATGGTTGCCCCCCCCCCCCCCAAAAAAAAAAAAAAAAAAAACATTGCTCTCATCACACTAAAAATGTTGTATTTAAATGATGTAAATTATAGTATAGTTATAGTTTTAGTATTGGTTATAACTTGGATTAAAACAGACGCTCTTTAACCGTAACATTTACTTTCAACAAATACAATATATGTTTTCCCGCTAGATGTACTCATAATATCATAGTTAATGATGTTTAAGTTCCAAAGATTATGGTTGTTCATTCCACGAATGACCTTAAAGTCCAATCTTTTTGTCTAATTCGAACAAAAGAAAACGTTTTTTTGCAGTAGTTTTAAAAGCGACAGCCTCCTTGAAAGCTCATAATCTACAAATTGATAATTTAGACGATACCTTGCTGATGTTATGAATCTTAATGACAGTGGATTAGTGTAGCACACGTTTATGCTGGTCGACGAGCGACTTGAAGTACCATATTTTCTGAAAGTTTCCATGTTGTATACATTTCTGCTTCGAGTGGGTAAGTTTGAAGTGGTATATGCCACGGGCAAAGTATCCTTCCAACGTAGAAGTGTTGGGTAAACTGCTGGGTGTTGTCGGTCAAGTGTACTAACACGTCACATGTTGACTTCATACTCGTCATCAATGGCGTCATCTTAGACACAGTGAACTGAAACCGGAATTAACATCGTTATTAATATGCACTGTCAATAGAAAGATTCATTTTATTCCAGTTATTGAATTGATCAATGATGCAGTAATATCCAAGAAGAGGAGAGCATAAACACGAAGAAACTGTTATCTCATAGTAGTTGAATGTCTTCAAAGTGAGTAAGTATTAAACAAAATCGATTAGTTTGTTTTATGCAAACATTATTCCGTCGACAAAAAAAAAAGAATTTGATATATACCTCAGAACGAGTCCATATGTAGTTGTAGGAGCCTATAAACCAACCCACCCCTCCAATAAAAGGGGGAATAACGTGCAATTCTTTATAAAGGTATGATAGGTTTTATTATTAGAAAATGAACTAATTAATTTAAACAAACTCTTCGAATTTACAAAACCAATAAATAAACCTTGAGCAGTGAAAAAGTGCCCCCTTTGTGAATGAAAAGGTGCCCATCCTGAAAGGAAAAATTTACACATTCTGATGTTTATTTTTCTGCCTTATGTATCCATTAGACCATACCTTCCCCTTTACTGTAATGTAAGATAAGACACCCACTTACTCGTGATTGTTGTGGAAATATCATCCAACTCTCCGTTTTGCGTTTCCTAAAAGTTGCACATGTAGTTCTGAAAAATGCAAAAATCACTGCAAAATTAGAGACCTAATTACATGTGAGCACAACATAATGGCCTTTTAGCCTCACCATCATCACTATATCAATTATCCTTTATTTTATGATTATTAAAAAAAAAGCACATGAAAACAATCTTTAATTAGGTTTTAAAATTCGTGTTTTCTCCCGGTCATGTTCTAGTGTGATCCGTTTTCACTGTTTCACCAAACTCCGGCACAAATGGATTTTTACATGCCATTTTCCAAACAATGTTGCTCAGTGAAGCATGTATGGATTAATGTAATCAATATATCATTTGAAATTACTTTTACTTTTTGAAAAACAAAGAATTATATATATAAAAAGCGTTTGATTTTTTTTTCTTTCTTGGACGTTCTGTATTTTACACCACATTTTGAAGTTCTTGTCTTACATTTGCTTAGTGCCTCATCATCGTCGTCGTCGTCGTTATTATAATCATCACCCTTCTCTTCCTCCTCCTCTTTCCTCCACATCATTATCACCACAATCCTCATCTTCCTCAGCTCCATCATCATAATCTTCGTCATCCGCATCATCCGCTGGTATACAGGACCGTGCGCAAGCCTATAACTTTGGGTCTTTTCTCAGTTATGTTCGCTAGAAAATACATTCATACTCATAGACACGAACGATAGGGTTTATGTGTGAAACGAGACTAGGCAAAATGAAGCAAAGGCGTTCTAAATGATTATAACAAAATAGGCCTAACTTAAAGAATTTTGGTAACGTCATGTGGGGATGTTAGCATGGTCCTAAGTAATATCAAGAAATAAAAATAAAAAGTTTCACAAAAGCAAAGACAAAGCGTTAGCAATACAACACTTACTTCAATAAAGAAGCCTTTTATTCCTCATAATTTAATCATCATTTCATCGTAATGACAAACAAATTTGTCGGGATATTAACGACATAACTATATCCACTGGTTCTTATCGGTATCTGATTAATCTCAAACAGCCAAACGATAAGCTAGAATAGCCGAATGAGGTGGTTTATGGTTCTTAATCTTCTATGTTGTGATAATACATTGTGGGTTTGATAAAGAACGATTATGATAATACATTATTATCATAACTGTCTTTTTATCAGCTCGATTAAATTTGTCTCAATTTCGAGAGAGATATGAGCGTGTATAAAAGAGGCTATTTATGAGTGTTGTGAGTGATAAGATTGAACACGTGGATTTGAGATTGAATAAGATGAATGCTGCTTCGGCATGCATGCAGCAAGGTTATACACAAACTCTATCAAGCTTTCATTGCAAGGAGTGTCATCTTCATGTCCTTATTTTTTTAATAAAGTGAAAATACTATATTATCCGCCATTAAATAAACAAAATGAATAAATATACGTCAAGTGGAGGACATGAAAAGAACATTTTTTTTTAAAGAAATGTAACTTGTTTTGGAAACGTTGCGTGTAGAACGTGACGAAAAGGTGTCTCTATTTATATTTGAAAGTCTCATCACCATTGTAATAAACTAGACTGAACATTGGCGGATCTAGAGAGGGGCCCCTCTGGTTGAAAAGAAAATAATACAAATTAAAAAACACATTGACCACATCCCGTATTTGTATTTTGTTCTCTTTGCCCGTTTGACATTTAAGGTACCATAATCCTGGATCTGCTGAAACAATCATTACATTTCTTGTCAAACTATTAAAAATATGTATTTAATGTTCTATACGATTTAATGTTTACTTCCAATCTTTTCGTCTAACCTATATCATATTTTGTTGTGAACTAATGAAAACAGTTTGAGGTGATTTATTTTCTTATACAGGGGGTGGGGTCTAAATATTTGGGCTGTACACATCTATAAGGGTAATTTGGGATATATGATTTATGGTACAATCAACAGCAACAACTAGCTCACTGTCATACATTCCATGATAGATATCTACATAAACCTATACATTTAACATTACCCCCTGACAGGTGTTTATATGTGTGTATGTGGGGGGGGGGGGTCAAGCATTCACAATTAATAAACCAAATTATTGTAATATAATTCACAGTTTCGGATTATCATGCGTGTTGGCTCGACTTGTCCTAGACATTTTGGTATGTAGGCGCTGACAGTATCAACAACAGCGAAAACAACATTTATCTGATAAATTCTGTTTGATGTTCTAGTTGTTAGGGTGATGTAACAAATCATCTCAATCTGATGACCTAAATCAGGGCACTAGATAGGAGTATTCTCGATAACCTGTCTACAGGCAAGACAGACGATCGAGCCAAGTTAAAAACCACGACGTACCGATTTACATGAAGGTTACAAAGACATACTGTTAAAACATTTTGCTTGATTGTTTTGCATGTCTCATATTATTGTACTCTGTTTCTTGTATTATTGTAATGCTGGTGGGAAGTATATTTCCATATTGTGGACGAATAAATCAATAAATTAATATCTATAGTTTCAGTTTGAAAGTTGAAACCGCGCCTTCTTTCAGACGAGTAATGTTTTTTAAAAAAAATAGACTTATAATCATAAGCATAGATGTTAGTTCATAATGAATTCAGATTCTCAATATTCGTTTAATATCATTTTTCTCAATGGACAGTAAATAGACCATTCTTTCAAAAAGAAAATATGCATAAATGTTTGAAATTAATTCTTCATTGTGAACAAAAGCAACCTTAAAACAAAATGTGTTTTTCTTGGCTGGATGATCTTCCTTGTGACATAAAATAAGACTGTGATTGTAAGATAATGTATTAGAAGACAGAT